TTGCATAAAAATTATGTAATATTTACACTCGATGTAATAATTGCATAATTTTTGTATGCTTATTTGCATAATATTACAGGCCCACCATAAACTTATGTAAATAGTGTAATAATTACATAAATCCATGTCAGAAAAATTTCCTGATGAAGAAGTAGTTCATCACAACAAGATCAGGACCAACAAAGTGATGATCTAATTGCATCAGATATCCATCATTGTACAAATTCAAGGGTGTGGACCAAGGAAGATAAAACCATTTTATTAAAGCATTGCCTTAGAAAACGAATAAACACCGATGAACTTTACGAATTGGGCCTATTAAAAAAATCTCAGGCAATGTCTAAGCAGTGGAAATCAATGAAAAATAAGATCAAGAAATCATTTGACGTTGATTTTTAATAATAGTAATAATAATAGCAAACTTTACAATTAATTATTTTTTTATATAACTAAAAATATCATTTCTATTTTTTAATAATTTATTATAATAATAAAATAAAAAAAATTAGTTATATTTTTTAGGAAAATTGCTATTAAAATACTAATGTTCCAAGATTCCTTTTCTGTTTGTTTATTATCTGTAATACATAAACTTAATAACTTAGTACAAGTATGAATAATAAACATTTGATTTCAATTTTGTCTATGACAAAAACAAGAATTACATATCCTCCCTCCTAAAATAAATGGCATGTTCTTTGGGATGTTATACAGAATTTTTAATCTAAAAGTGATAAGGTGATGTATAATAAATTGACAAAAATGAAAATTAAATACAATGGTTCTGATGAAGGCATTGATTTTTTAGAAAAAGGTTGTGATTGTGGTGAATCCTTTCAAGCCTGAACATATTTTAATGGCCCAACTTAAGGCAATGGATGGTGGATCAATAAGCATTAGCAGACACCTTAAAAAGAAAACTAGATCTAATAAAAGAACTTTCTATCATTGAGATCATAATACACTTCTTTGTCAAGAAACTTACCTCAATATGTTGGGGATTGGCAGGACTTATTTTGAAAATATTAGAAATCA